CATTGAGTGTAGAGATTATTTAAAAACAAAATGTTAAAGAAGTTTTTAAAAAAATCATCCCACTCTACACTTGCTAGTTGTGTTTTATGTAAGTTACGTTTCATTAAAAAGGAAAAAAAAATGAATTTAGTGAGGTCATTGGTTTAAAAAACCCATTTACATAACTCAGTTGTATTTTTAAAGATTTTATTTAAAAAAAAAGATTTTTATTTATTAGAGAGCGAGAACATGAGCGGGGGAAGGTGCAGAGGCAGAGGGAGAAGCAGGCTCTCCGTTGATCAGGGAGCCCGACGCGTGACTCAATCCCAGGACCCTGAGATCATGACCTGAACTGAAGGTAGACGCTTCGCCGCCTGAGCCACCCAGGCACCCCTGAAAATGGAATTTAAAATGCCATGAATAATGTCAAAAAAAATCAATACCTAGGAATAAATACAATCAAAGAGACTTGCGGAGAAAAATTACTGTATTATTTTTTTAATTTAAGGAGTCTCTACACCCAATGTGGGGCTTGATTGAACTCACAACCCTGAGATCAGGAGTCATTTTTTCTGACCAAGCCAGTCGGGTGCCCCAAGATTTGCAGAGAAAGTTAGAGACTAAGTGGAAACAGATACTACATTTGTGGATTGTGGATTGAAAGACTCAACATCGGGGAGATGGCACTATCCTGGAAATGATCTGTAGATTCACTGGAATTCCAATCAAAGTCTAGGACAGTGGCTTTCAGCCTTTTGACTGTGTTCCAGTTACACACACAGTCACGCACAAAACAAGAACAAAAGTTTTGTGTAACCATACTTGTCCTGACTACTTAAGATTGCCTTTGATGTTTTCTGTTATATTCTAGGGTTTTTTTGTTGTTGTTGTTGTTCATTTGTATCCATGAGCTTGGTTTTGTTGTTGTTTAATTCCACATATAAGTGAGATTATATCATATTGCCCTTTCTTGGACTTATTTCTCTTAGCATGATGCCCTCAAGGGCCATCTGATGATTTCTGTTATATTCTCGATCATATTTTTTTTAAAGATTTTATTTATTTATTTATTTATTTATTTATTTATTTGACAGAGACACAGCGAGAGAGGGAACACAAGCAGGGGGAGTGGGAGAGGGAGAAGCAGGCTTCCCACAGAGCAGGGAACCTGATGCGGGGCTCGATCCCAGGACCCTGGGACCATGACCTGAGCCGAAGGCAGCCGCTTAACCAACTGAGCCACCCAGGCGCCCCCCTTGATTATATTTTCCATGCTGGTCTGAAATTGATTGCATTACCCACTAGTGGGACAGGACCTGCAGTTTTAGAAATATCACATGAGGGAAGGCCAGGTTGTTTTAGAAAATCATTGTCCAGCTGAGACCCGACTGCCATGTGCTGGATTTCTCAGTGGCTTGGTAGAATGTCAGAATAGAGACAGCATGCGACCTTGCCGCTGAGCCTTCTCCTCCAGGTGGCCCTGTTCATGACACAGCCCACGCAAGGGGCTCCTCTCCAGCTTAATCACATCACACTGGATGGTGTGTCGGTGATCATCACATCGTATATGCTGTTTATTAAAAAAGTTTTTTTTGTTTTACACAGAGTACAAGGGACCTTAACTGTAGCCACCAAACAACCTGTGGGTCAACCGCGGTAACGTGGAGGAATGATCTGATCTGGGGGTGGGGGAGGAGAGGGGCACTCAAAAGGGGGAAGACGGTGACAAGTGAATAGTACAAGAAATGTATACAAATCACCTGTAACAATGGGGGGGCAGAGGGACGGAGGAAGGACAGGCTGTATGGGGACCGAGTGCTCATCTTTTATACCAGGGCTGGGGGCTCAATAGAAAATGTGGAGGGGCGCCTGGGTGGCTCAGTCGTTGGGCGTCTGCCTTCGGCTCAGGTCGTGATCCCAGGGTCCTGGGATCGAGCCCCGCATCGGGCTCCCTGCTCCGCGGGAAGCCTGCTTCTCCCTCTCCCACTCCCCCTGCTTGTGTTCCCTCTCTCGCTGTGTCTCTCTGTCAAATAAATAAATAAAATCTTAAAAAAAAAAATGTGTAAAAAGGAGCAGATTTCCAGGTGAAAAACTCAGAAATAGAGGCGAGTGATGTACGCTAATTATCAGATGTCGGGGCCATGATGCTACGAGAAAGAAAGGCTGGTTAGGGTGAGATTTGGGGACCGTTTGGGGTGGGCCCAAGGATCAGGACCAGGTGCGGGGCTTCTGACTTTTAACTTTATAGTTTGAGTACTTTATTTTCATGCAATGTGTTACTTTTGGTAATGAAAAGGATGGCAGTTTTTTGTGTTTTGGTTGTGTTTTAACCAGGGGCAGGGGCATGAGGCTGGGGCGGGGACCCACTGACACATTCAGCAGGATATACTGGGCATCACTGGTGTGCCTGGCCTGCTGCTGGCCGGTGCTGGGGACACACGGTGACTGGGACAGCCCCGGGCCCTGCCCTCGTGGGCCTCACGGGCCGGTGCGGAGACAGTGCAGACAAGTGGGTGGCCGGATCAGTCCCAGTTGCGATAGGTGCTCTGAAGGGAATACACAGAATGGCAGGAGGGACAAAGGTCCCTGGAGGGGGAGGTCAGGTCGGGACATTGGTCGGAGCTGGGACAGGGCGTGGACCAGGACAGCGGGTGGGGGTGTGGGAGAGACATTTAGGAGACAGACGAGATAGACCCGTGGCTGAGAGGCTGTGGGGGAGGGGAACACCTGAGTCCCAAGTCTCTGGCCTGGTGACAGGATGGACCCAGGAGGAGAAACAAGTGTTTGTTGGGCGTGGGGAGCCGGGGTCAGGTCTGGACACGGTGAGTGTGTCTGGGAGACATCTGGGGACCTGTTGGATCCCCGGGTCAGGTGCTGTCCTCTGTCTTGTCCTATCCTGGCTTCTCACGGCTACCCCTTCTTGTCAACCCCCCATTCCCACGCGGACCTTGTTTCCTGAACCCCAAATCTGAGACTGCCATCGACCCCTGCTCTGAAAGCCTTCTCTCTCTCACACACACACCCTTCAGTTTCATTTCCTATGCCTGCATGTATGCTGCCACCCCTCGTGCCCACTCCCATTTGCACATCCGGCCTCGACCACTGACCCAGGTCGTCCTGCTCGGTCCACAGTGGGGTGCTGGGACATTCGCCCAGGGAGGCCGGTGGAGGCTGGTGCTGTCTCCCCTCACCACTCTCCGGCCGCTATGCTTTGTGGGCCTGACATGAAGGATCACGTGACAGTTACAGCCCCGGCCCCCCGGCCCAGCACCCCAGGGCTGGTGTGTGGTCATCACCTCCCCATTTTACAGAGGTGGCTCAAAGTGGGCTGTCCTTGCAGTAGGTGACAGAGCTCCAGGTGGACCCCAGCCTGGCCTGAAGCTAGGCCCTCAGTGTGGGAGGAGTCTGCACAGCCCGGACCCCAGGAACCCCACAACACCAGGGCCTCCGTAACAATTAGTGGTAACAGTGAGCACCGCATTGGGCAGTTCACGGGTGGGGGGATGGGGGTTTGGGGGGGTGGCTGGGCTCCTTAGATCCTACTGCTGGCTCCAGGCAGAGCTCGTCCAACATTTTTGCTGCTCCGCCCCTTTAAAACATTGAAAAGTTATATACCCCCTAGTGCATTTTCAAGGTGACAGCTAAAACTTCTCCATGAATTCAAGTAGATGCAGAGGCTATAATTTCTGGTGTGTAGTGAATATTGATATTTTCAGAGTTGGCGCCATCCTTCCTTCAGAGTATCGAATGCAATTCACGTAACTTGTGATTTGGCGCCTGCTACTCTTGGTTTAAAGGGGAAAAAAACGAACAAGCTGTTCCTTTACAGTCAGAAATTTCACATTGTTCCCTGAACTTTGTCCTTGAACTTCTGTTTACACTTCCCTTGCAGAATTCTAATAAAGTATGTGTCAGCAACCAAAATATGCACAGAAATCCAGATTTTAATTTTTGTTTCATTTCCGGGGACCATAAGGTTATAAATGTTCAAATAACTTCTTCTGGGCTCTTAAAATTACTAGTGCACAATGCATTTAAAACACCTCATATATTATGCATTTATGTGGATGATTATGAAACATTAGAAGTGAAGTGCCGTGTTGGACGTGAGTCTCCAAATGAACTAGACAGCGATTTCGTGTATCCTGGACAAATATGAATTACTGCAGGAGAGAGTCAGGGGCCGGCATAATTCTGCCTTGGTTTTTAAGACTCAGAGGCTGAGAATCTCCCTGCACAAAGAAGCAGCTAGGCAAGAAAGCTTTTGGTCCAGCAGCAGCAGTCGGCTCGTGAGCCTCTTCCAAGGTACGTGCCCCGCACCTCGCTGTGAAGAGCTCCCAAGACTGTTAGCTACATCCTCAGGGTTGGTGAAAATAGAGGAGGATGGGAGCCACCAGACTTGCCAAGAGGATCAGTTACCTGCTGTTCACAATCACTTCACATGCATTCCCACCTGCCAGTGGCCCTTTCTTTGGAGCCAGGAGGGCCCCCTACCCTGCAGCCCTAACTCTGAATTTGGGGAAGATTCGGAAAGAAATTGGGCGGGGGTTCTTTCTCCTGAGAAGTGGGTTGGACGACTGTGTCGGGGGAGGAGGAATGCTTGGCTGTCCCACTGGTGGCTTGAGGGGAGGAGCAGAGGGGGCTAAGGCTAAAGCCTCTGACAGTTGAATCTGTACACCTTCCGGGGACTTTGGGTCCTGGGAGCTCTTTGTAACCCTACAGGGGCATTCCCTGCCCCCCACCCCTCAACCAGACTGAGGACTTCCCTTCCTGGGCAGGGTTTCTGATTCCCGGCTGCTTGGCAGAATCCTTTGGGAAATTTAAAAAGATACCCTGGGGTCACCCCAGGCCAGTGACTCAACATTGCTGGGCTAGGCCAGTGCGGGTCTTGTTTAAGGCGATCCCCCCCGTGGTTCTGGTGGTGGTGTCCCCATTGCTCCAGCCTGGACGCCCGAAGCGCGTTGGGGTGGGGCTTGTAGGGGGCTCCTGGCGCACGACCTGACCCCTCTCTTCCCCCGCAGTGTACCACTGGGTGGAGATGCGGACCAAGATGCGCATCATGGGCTTCCGGGGCACAGTCATCAAGCCGCTGAACGAGGACGCGGCCGCCGAGCTGGGCGCCGAGCTGCTGGGCGAGGCCACCATCTTCGTCGTGGGCGGCGGCTGCCTGGTGCTGGAGTACTGGCGCCACCAGACGCACCAGCGTCACAAGGAGGAGGAGCAGCGCGCCGCCTGGGACGCGATGCAGGACGAGGTGGGCCGCCTGGCGCTGGCGCTGGAGGCCCTGCAGGCGCAGATGCAGGCGGCGCCGGCGCGTAGCGCCCTGGAGGAGCTACAAGAGCAGATGCGAGAGGTGCGCGCCCAGCTCTGCGCCCGGGACCCGCCGCCCGCGTCCCAGGCCTCGTCCCCGTCCCAGGCGGTATCCGCGGCCAAGGTACAGGAGTCTGCTCAAGTCTGAACTTGGCCGTGGTTGTGTGTGCCCCGATGTGGCCTTCTCCCCGTGCTACCCCCGCCTGCGCTGGCCCAGCGGAAGCCACCGGGATCTTGATGGAACTTGGATTCAGTTAGCCTCTCCCCCCGGTACCTTCCGCGGGGGCCAGCCCCCCCGCCGGTGAAGCGGTCCCACGAAGCGCCCTCCAAGCCCCAGCTCCTCGGTACAGACCACAGTGCTCAGCGCTCCACCCCAACCCCACACCACACGGACCTGTGCCGTCCCAGCCAGGAAGACAACAGGCTCACTCTTCTGGCAGGAGGAAAAACGGACTGGACTTGAGCTGAATCGAGCCGTGAACCCCCTCCAGCCCCCATTTCCGTGATAAATGTTACCCTGCCCTGGGGCTCATCCTTTTCCCTGGAACCTCGCCCCGCTTCCCTTGTGAATTGGCACAGACCATTGTACAGAAATGCAGTGTCCCAGCATCTAAGGTGGGCTCTGGCTGGGTTTCACCACTCTCTCTGAGGGGAAAGCTTGAACCACTGGATGCTGTATCTTCCCCCTTAACCTGATCTGTGGCACCCTGCGAGACCCCAAGTGGAATATTCCAACAGATCCCTACCCCCCAGTCCTTCAGTCTGGCACAACCTACTAGGATGTCTGTGCAGGGTCCTCTCTGGCAGCGCCCTCCCATCACCCCCTCTGTGGTGGAAAAATGGATCCTGCCTAAGGCTAAATCCAACCTGTCCTTCAGCCTCATCCCCCCGTTTAGCGGTTCTCCAAGTCCCTGAGCCTTTCCTGACAGGTCCTCCTCCGTGGCCTCTCAGCGCACTGCCACCACATTCCTTGTGTTCCATCCAGATCGGCTGACCTGTGTACCCTTGCCCTTCTCTCCTGGGGCTCTGGGCCGGTCCATCCGTCCCCCTTCACGCGGTGGTGCCCCCGTGCCTCCAGAGCCCTTGGCCTCACCTCCATCCCACTAGACTAGGCCACCGGTTGGTCTTAACCGTTCTTAGTTTCCCAGGGCTACCATAACATGACCACAAACTTGAGGGCTTAAAACCAGAGAAAAGTGTTCTCTCGCAGTTCTGGAGGCCACAGATCTAAAATCAAAGACTCAGCAGGGCCATGCTCCATCCGAGGGCCCTGGGGGAAGATACTTCCTTGCCTCTTCTAACTTCTGGTGACTTCAAGCGTTCCTTGCCTTGTGGCTGCAGATCTCTCGTCTCTGCCTCCATCTTCATGTGGCCTTCTCGTGTCTCTCATAAAGGCACTTGTCTTTGGATTTAGGGCCCACCCTAAACCTAGGATGATCTCACTTCAGGATTCTTAACTTATTTACGGAGTTGTTTTTTTTTTCCCCCAGATACACTCACGGTCAGTCACAGGTTCCATGGGTGTGGACATATCTCTTAGGGAGCCACCATTCAACCCACTACACCTCCCCACCCCAAAGAGGACGCTGGGACCCTTGCAAACCCCATGGGACATGTGGCCTTCCCCACAGGGGTGATAGGAACAATCCTGGAACCAGCATTTACTATGGGGTGTCTCTTCCGGGGATCTCACTGATGCAGTGGGGGTATAGCTCCCACCAGTCTGCATTCTGTTCTGCAGACCGTCCATGTTATGTTGCCTGAATAAAAGAGCCCCAGAATGAGGAAGTCATCTTTAGGATGTGTCTGAGGACGTAGGGATCTTCAAAATGGGTACAAGCCTCGTTAAAATTAGAGAAGCTGATGTGTGTGAGTGGGCAGTGATCCTATGAACACTCTCCCTGATGGGGAAGCTGAGGCCCAGGGAAGGCAAAGGGACTTGCCCATGGCCATGAAGCCAATGAGGGACTCGCTGTCCAAGGTGGTGAAGTAATCAGAGCAGAATGGGGGTCAGGGCTCAGGGAAGGAGATGGAAAAGGGTTGCAGGGTGCTGGAGAGCACCGGTAGGGGAGAGGGGAGCAGGGAGGCAGTTACTGGGGAGGAGGGGTGGTTAGGGATCTCCACAGAGGCCCAAGGCATTTCCCAGAGGCAGCGTTGAGAGTGGGGGGCCCTCAATTTCTGGTCCAGGCAGCCCCGGACCACACCTGAAATCTTTGCATTTAATGAATGGGGTCAGATCCAAGATCCATTCTACCTGGATTGGGTTCCAAGAAGCTGTAGGTGAAGCGGGAGGGGCAGGCTTTCTCTCAACTCTTCAGTCCCTCACCTCACTGCCAGGGCTCCGGGAGGCTGGGGTGGGGGCAGGCGGGGTGATCTGGACACAACACCTACCCAGACAGAAAACCAAGAAACTGGGGTCCTGAAAAATCATCTTAATTCCTTCTAGAAGTGGGGGAGAAGCTGACTGTAGAGGGAGCTGAGGAGGTGGGTCCTGGTGTCCTGTCCTGGAGGTGTCTTTAAAATCGGAAGTGAGGGTGCGTGGGTGGCTGAGTCGATTAAGCATCTGCCTTTGGCTCGGCCCATGATCCCAGGGTCCGGGGATTGAGCCCCGCATCGGGCTCCCTGCTCAGTGTGGAGTCTGCGTCTCCCTCTCCCGCTCCCCCTGCTTGTGCTCTAAGTAAAAATAAATAAAATAAAATAAAATCGGAAGTGACCTGAGTAGATAAATGAGAAGAAGATACCGAGAGAGAGCACTGGGGGAGGAGGGATGGGCGGAGCCAGGTGAGAGGGCTCAGTGCCCAGTTTCCATGGCTACTCCTGGGGGTGCCCTGTGGCACTGACCCATCTCTGGAGCACAGGTTGCTGGAGGCTAAGCGACTGTGACGTACGCCCCTTCCCACCCATCATCTCAATAAATAGTGGCCATTAACAGTATTTTCTTCATTTCTTTAATGAGAAAATTGAGGTACAAAAAGGGGGAGTCACCTGCCCAAGGACACACAGGCAAGAAAAGCAGAAGTGGGACCAGGAGCTGGACAGTCTTATACCAGAGCCCAAGCTTCAAGCCCCTGCGCCATCTTGACCCTGATGTGGCATTACTGTCACGTCCCAATACTCCGAACTCAGCCCTGCGTGTCCCTCCGTGTGGCCAGACCTTGTGGGATGCATCGGCTTCACCCACTGGGTGGGATCAGGGTGTGTGGAAATGCAAAGAATCCCCTCTCAAAAAGCAGGAGGCTGAGACCGAAGGATGCTTCCTTACTCTGGTTTCCTACTAGCTAAAGTTGTGTATACATTTGCGACTTGGGGAGAGGGGTAGAATAAATTTATAAACGAAGTTGGTTGTCTGCAAGTTGATGTGTGTTGTTGTTTTTTTTTAATCTTTAAAAAAACCCCGTTACAACCTTAGGAAAAACGTCCTCCAATTATCCTTTCATTCAGGAAACTTTCAGGTATCCACTGTGTACCCTGCCCTGCTCTGTGTCATGCTGGGGTCCCAGCAGGGAGCGAGACAGCCACAACCCTGCCCTCATGGCACCCCCAGTCCGGTGGGGGGACGTCCGTTCACAGACATTGCTTTTCCAATGTTACCTGCCTGCCCCGCGGTGATTTGGGAAGAAGGGGCCTCACTGAATCCAGACTCCTCCCCTCCTGAGGGACTCAGGACTAGGGCAGAAAAAAAACAGAAACCCATTTACACTGGCTCACAAAAGCCTCCCAGCTGTCCTGAGGGCTCTGCCTCTCCCATCTCTGGCTCGGCTCCATTGTCCTCTCTGTTGGTTTTCCAGTCCGGCAGCCCCTTGCCTGGAGAAAGCCACCCCTAGAGAAAGTGGACTTTGGTAAGCCCCTGCCTGATTCATCTGCCCATATAGCCGTCCCTGTGCTAGCCACTGTAACTCTCAAACGTCCAGGTCTGGGGCCCCCGACCCCAATGGATGGAGGGAAGCGTGCCCAAAGGAGAATCGAGTGGGTGCCCTGCACCCACTTGTCAGACAACTCATTAGCACGTACTGTAAGCCTGACCCCATTGTCGTAGCTGGGAGTCGACCAGGAACAAGACAAGGGCTCTCACCGTTTCGGAGCTGTCGTCTAGTGCAGGAGTTGGGCAGTAAAGATGTAAAGGGCTGATCCAGTGGCAGAGTTCAGGAGTGAAGAGTTTACTGACCCCTGGAATATAGTAAGCAAGTGGAGTCAGGAGAATGAAGATCAACCAGCACCCTTGTCTTGGTTGGCCCAGCTCTGGAGGCTCCTACCAGCTCTGGGCACCCCAGAGGACTGGCGACTGCATCTCTCCTCAACTACTCCATACCCAACTCTGCTTCCTTCCCTCCCCACCTGCAGGCGTCGTTCCCCAAAGACTCTGCCATAACCCTACTGCACACGGATCTCAAGAGTCTATGGGGCGCCTGGGTGGCTCAGTTGGTCGAGCGCCCGACTCTTGATTTCAGCTCAGGTCATGATCTCAGAGTCATGAGATTGAGCCCCGCGTCGGGCTCCGCGCTCAAGAGTCTGCTTGTCTCTCTCCCTCTGCTCCTCTCTCAAATAAATCAATAAAATCTTAAAAAAAAAAAAAAAGCCTCCATCTTTCAACCCATGGCGGCAAGCCACAGTGAGAAGCAGAGTTTATACCATATACATATTTATATAACTTACAGTTCACACTCTGTGTATTATAAATATGGCATAATTCATCCATTATGTGACATAGTATATAATACAATACTTTTTATGTAATATGTAACATAACATTGTATAGTATATGTTGTGTGTGTGTGTATCATTGGAATGAAAATTTCACTGAATACCCTTAATATGTAGCTTGCAGTCTGATAACTTCTTACCGTATTCCTTTTCATGAAGAAAAGCCACAGATACAGATGTATCCTTTGTACCTAATATGTATTATAAACATATAAAACCTGTTATATGTATTCGATAACACAATGTTAACATCATACATTATGTATTACATATATGGTTAGAACAAAAGTTTCGCAAAATGATGATTGCTGTCACCATGTGCAATGCACTCTGTTACTTTCTATTTTTTTCTATCTCATAAAGAAGGGCATTGGGCGCCTGGGTGGCTCAGTTGGTTAAGCGACTGCCTTCGGCTCAGGTCATGATCCTGGAGTCCCGGGATCGAGTCCCGCATCGGGCTTCCTGCTCAGCAGGGAGTCTGCTTCTCCCTCTGACCCTCTTCCCTCTCGTGCTTTCTATCTCTCATTCTCTCTCTCTCTCAAATAAATAAATAAAATCTTTAAAAAAAAAAAAAGGGCATATACTTATGTATGTATTATACAGACCTACATAAAGTGGGCTGCCCTGGGCCTTTGGCTTTTATTCTGGGCAAGGCAGGAGCCGTGGGATCTCTGAGCAGAGGAGGGATATGGGCTGACTTAGGGTCCCTCCCAACGGACTATGGGGGGGCAAAGGTGAAAGCTGCCCGTCCGGTAAAGAGAAGACTGTGATTGTCCAGGTGTGGGGGGCATGGTGGCCGGACCAGCGGGAGAAGTGGGATTCTGGGCATATTGGCATTTCAGAGGTGGAGCAGACAGGATTTGCTGAGCGATGGGATGTGGGGGTGTCACTGAAAGCTTCTAGGTTTTTTGCTCTGTGCACCTAGAAGGGAAACACTGGCATATCTCAAGACGGTGAGGCTACCGCGGAACCAGGCACAAGGAGATATTGGGAGCCCCTGCCCTTCCTTATCCCCAGGTCGTCTCAGATTTGGACGCCCTTTGGCAGGTTTTTGTTATTCTGAACTGTAGCCAGGGAGGGCTGGGAAGACAGTTTTCATCTTTACTCATCTCTGACGTCACTGAGCTCACTCTCAGGCTGTGTCTCTGACATTATCTCGACTCCCCCCTCAGGGAACGCTCCTGCTGTCCATGTGGCACCTCCTAGAGGAATGAGGAAAGTGGAGGTGGTGGTCTGGGACTTGGGACCCCTGGGCTTAGAGTGCCCCTCGCCCCTAGAATGGCAGTGCCCAGGTCAGGCTCCCCAGAGGCACCTCTGCCAGGTAAGGGCGGTCATGGACCAGGGGTGGGGGGTGGTCACCGATGGCTCCGTCACATCCAATGTGCCCACCGCGCTCAAAGGGCCCATCCCTGTGCCTTGAACTCTTCTTTTTTCTAGATTGCACACTCTCTTCATAAAAGTTCAGCCATTTCAGAGAAACCAAAGTCCCCTCCCTGAAAGGAATCCTGCCTCCCGTTTGGGGGAACTCTGGCAGACCCCTTTTAAGAATGATCTGGTCACACTTGAGACCCCCTTATGAGCTGTCCGCTGCTACCCTCTTGCGACACTCAGCGGTCTTTATGTGCTTCTCTGGCCAGCGTGAGTCTTTCCTTAGATGCCAAGAGCTGAAGGAACCGAATGTAATATAAAAACGCCCTCGAAAATTCTGCGGAGTGTCAACACGTGGAATGATCCAACTTGAAAGATTTTCAAGCAGTAGAAGTGCGCGTGGACTGTAATTGT